ACCACAAACTGCCCTAAAACAAGCAATGACTTGGCAACTTCCTTCAGAGGTACAAAGGATGGCTGGTGCAAGCAGTTAACCTTGAGACAGCCTGGCTAAGTTGGAAGGTCATGCCTGAGTCAGGTTGGAAGTTTACACTGACACCCCAATGCAGTACTGGGATGTGCTACATTGCTGGAGGTGTCCCCAGTCGGATGAGACCTTAAACTGAGGTCCGGTCTGCCTGTACATGTAAATTTAAAGATCCAATGGCACTACTCAAAAAACAGAATTTTCTCCTGGTGTCCTAACCACCAATCCCCCAGATAAAATTGGTCATTTACTGCATTACCGGCTGTGGGACATTGTTACACACAACATGGCTGCTGCCTTCACTCACAAACCACACAGTAGCTCCACTTTAAAGTAAAAATCTGTGAAGCTCTTTGAGACATCCTCTTGACGCGAAAAGACGTGAATTTGCTATGCAAAATATAAATATTATTGTAACATTCACCTTCATTGGCTTGCAAAGGAAAGCAGTTGCGGCTTAAGCTCCACACACCAAATTGGAAGAACCACTGCTCAATAGATAAGGATGCCGTCTGAGCTGTTGGCAGGACGATTCCTTCCCACGTCCTTTTCCGTTGAACAATGGTTCCACCAGTTGGAGATAACAGGCTCATGGCATCGTTGCCCTCTTATCTTGTGTCATCACAGGTTTGATCTACTCCTTACATATACATATTATGCACTTTGTATCATTAATGAGCAGCAAGTTGTTAACTTTATGGTCATTTCATCCCTGTCAGAGGCCTACACACGCATTGATCCTCTCTCACTTGTCTACAAATCCCTTCATGCCCTGGAATCGCCCTACCTTTCCAACCTGGTTACTTCTCATGCTTTCAGCCTCTACACTCCAAAGCTTTTGAACCCTCTCCCTCAATTCCCCTATTTTTGATCATGACTGATCTTCAACCGTGCTCATGGTCACCTCCTCCCTCTCGGCGCTAGGCTCCGCCATTGTTAAGCACTCCGAGAGACCGCCCTGTGTGAAGGGCACTATATAAATGCAAGTTATTGTTGCATATGGATTTCCCTATTCCATACTGAACTAATCTCCCTGCTACTCAATTTCTCTGCGAGTATTATGCAGGTATCGTAAATGCTTCTAACGCTGGGTAAGGGAATTCTCCAGTGCAGTTTATTGATGACTGTGTATGCCATTATTTTGTTGATGATTAAGTCCATTACTGATTTCACATTTTGGCCTAAATTTATCAGTCTTAGCTGCAGTTAGTAGTTTTCCTCTGCAGAGTTAGTATTTTGAAACCCAAGGAGTTTAAAAATTTATTCTATTTCCTCTAGGACTCTCACTAGTGCACTGGGCACCTTGAATTGGTGAAACCATCACTCAATGGGTAGGGATGCATGACAGAGTGCTCGAACGTGTGCTTGGTGCATATCAAATGACCAACCAGTGATTTTTCTTGGGGTGGGGAGGGAAAGAGGGTGTGTTGGTCTTGGTAGTCCAGTTTCTGAGCCAGTCGGGTCAGCAATTCTCCATAGCACTGCTGATGACAGCCCAGGCAGCCTAGTATTTTGGCGGGCTCTGGAGAGGCTGGCTGTTTTTTGCCAGCTCTTAATTCCTCTTAATTCTGCAAGCCAAATCCCTAACGGGTAGGGAGGTTCCTAGCAGGAAAGCTTGCCAGGCAGTTTTCTCAATGGAAAGCTGTGCAATTTTGCTAGTTAAACTCCAGCAGTTACCTAACAACAGCAAGATTACATTTGTATAGCGCCTTTCACATCGGGAGGACGTCCCAAGGCGCTGGACAGAGTACAGCATTTCAGACCGGGGCCCTCAAGCCTTAGCTTTTGCCAACCCGAATAGTCTCCAGAATTAAGTAAGCAGGGAGAGAGTGCACATTCCATTCCAGTCAGGGACATTTCCACGTTTGAGATACATACGTGACGTGACATACATAAGTGGCATACATATGTGGAACACTCAATCTGGTTTGGACACTCTAAACTCTAAAATGGCGATGGAATTCTCCATGTGTCAGGTGGTCTAAAATTCTCATGTGGAGAAGAAAGATCAATTGACTAAAGATAAGTTTTTAACCAGCTTAAAATCAGACCCATTTGTTTTCAGACATTAATATTTAGTATTCTAAAACTGATTTATTTTACCGACACCAGCCCATCACAGTGAGCCCTACTGACTTCAATGCTACTTCTGTCCATGTTCACATTTCACAGTTGATCGTGTCATGAACTATATAGATAACCTAGAAATACTATACACAGCACGATTACAAAGCAGAAAACTAGTAGAGATGACATCATAAATACCAAGAGGAAAACTGATGAGACTGACTCAATACAACACTGTGAAGTGATGCAGGAGCTTGCAGTAAAGAGCGCTGTACACCTTCAGCTCCAGAACAGAATGGCGGAATCGAGCCATGCTTCTGTAATGGTCTAGTCCAGTTACTGAGCCAAGTGGGTCTGCAATATTCCAGGGCACTGCTGATGACACAGCATAGCCAGCCTGGCTCATTGGCAGGGCTTGGAAGGGCAGACCAGTCACCGGGAGCAGAGTATCACCCCAGTCAGCTCCTGTTAACCCTGCAAGCGAAAGCCCTTGCAGGTAGGGTGGTCCCAGCGGGGCAAGCAGCAGGAAAGCTAGCCATACAGGGATATCAATGGCAAGCTATGCAGTTTCCCAACGCACATTCTGGGTACCCCAGGCCTTGGATGTTGACAACCTGTGCCTATTACTTCCCAGAATTAGGTAAGCAGGATGAGTCCCTCCAGGGAGACAATGCGCATTCCATCCCAACTTCCACACGTATGTAGATGACACATAAATCTACTTCCCCTACATCTATGACTCCAGGTCTGCTGATGTTTTGTCAGCTTGCTTGTCAGACATCAGGACCTGAGACACCGTCCGGCATGGAGGGCGCTATGTAAGTCCAAGTTGTTGTTGTTGTTGGTGGTTAAGTGCAGAATTTCTACAGCTGAACGTCGATAAAGCAGAAGCCATATTCCTTGACTCCCATCAACGTCTTCTCTCCTGTGGTTCTGAAACCCTCAACCTCCCCCGCCTTTCACTAAGACTTACTGAACCTGTATATAACCTAGACATCAGGGTCGACCCACAGCTATCCTTCTTCCCCCACATCCTGTCCCTAACCAAGACCGCATTCCTCCACCTCCGTCACATTGCCAGCCTGTAACTGTACCTCATCCCAATGCAGCCAAAACCCTCGTCCACGCCTTCATTACTTACCACCTCGACTATTCCAATGCCTTCCTTGTCATACCCTCACACCCTGGCACTTCCCTACCTTTCTGACCTGCTTTCTCCCCACTCTGCTCGTCTGACTCTGGCCTTCTGCTTGTCCCTCGAAACTCCCTTTTCTTTTCAAATAGCCTCATGGGATTTTTTTGGGGTCAGCCGCTTGTCAGAGGCTGCAGTTCCGCCCACACTGAAAGCCATGAAAATTTGTGGGAAGAATTGAGTTTGGGAAGCGGTCAGTCAGTCTGTTTACATCAGGAAACACTTGCACTCCAAAAACCTTAGTGAGTGTCTGAGGGACAGTTTGCTCAGAGCTCTATGAGTGTACGTGTGTGTGTGGCGGGGGGGGGGGGGGATTAAGGTTTGTCTGTGGGCACAACCATTGTTCCCTAATTGGAACGTATTCGGCCTAATTCGGTTAATGGAGGTGAGCAGGTTTAATCTCCTTTATGAGTCAACACCAACTTGCATTTATATAGCGTCCTTCATCTGAACAGGCAGGCAGGATCTCAGTTTAATGTCTCACCTGAAGGATGCACTCACAGCACTGCACTGGAGTGTCAAACCTAGACGAGGAGTTCAAAGCTCCAACGTGGGACTTTAACCCACAACCCACTGATTCAGAGGCGATAGTCCTGCCGACCGAGTCAGGTTTACGACTGAGCCAGATTTAATGGGCAATGTCTCCGTCCACTTGGAAAAAAAAACTAACGACCAATTTGCTCATGGCAATATCCCCCAACAGTCATGAAGTGAATGAAAAGATCTCTCTCTCTCTTTCTGTGCCGCCAGGCCCACTACCAGAGTTTCATAGAATCATAGAATATTACTGCACAGAAGAAGGCCATTCAGCCCATCGTGCATGTGCTGGTTCTTTCAAGGAGCTACCAACTAGTCCCTACCCCACCCTTACCCCATAGCACTGCAAATTCTTCCTTTTTAAACCTATCCCATTCCCTTTTGAAAACTATTATCGAATCCGCTTCCACCACGCATTCAGGCAGTGCATTCCAGACCGTAACCACTCCCTGGAGGAAAAAAAAATTCTCCTCCTCTGGTCCTTCTAATAATAATAATAACCCTTGCATTTGATAATAGCACCTTATTACGTCTCCGAGGCGTTTCAAAGCGCTTCAGGTTTGGCAATCGTCCTAAATCTGTACCATCTGGTTACCGACCCACCTACCTACCTACCAACCAGAGGAAACAGTTTCTCCTTGGCCACACTTACCAAAAAAACAAACCCTCATAGTTTTGAACATAACAACAGTTTGTGGGGGGAGTGGAAGGGGGGCGGGGGAGGGGTGGAGAGAGCAGTCAGTCAAGTCAGCCTGTTTTACATCAGGTAATGTTAATTCTCCACCCCAAGAACCTCAGTAAGTGTCAGTGTGCGCGCCCAGAGACAGTATGCTCAGGGGGACAGTTTGCTCAGGGCTCCCTCCCCCCCACACTCCCTCTCTCTGAGCCAGCGTGGCCGCTATAGCCTCTCACTCCAGCACCAGGCGCGAGACGACTCTCCGCCGCCCCCGGGACACGGTGCCGGGGGCTGGGCTCGGCTCGCCTTGCGCCGAGCCCCCGGCACCGTGTCCCGGGGACGGCGGCGGGTCGAGGCGCGCTAGGCCAGGCGCCATGTGTGACCGGGAGGAGGGAGGAGCCTGCTGGCCTTCCCGCCCTGCCCAGCCCCTCGCCACCTCACCCCGTCAGCCGTTACCTGCCGCGCTCTCTGCAGCGCGTCGACGAAGGCCTCCACTTTGGGCCCGGGCGAGTGTCCGCCGGCGGCGGCGTTGAGGCCCAGGGCGGCCGGGGTGAGGATGCTGCCGTACTCCGCCATTAGCCCCTCTCCTACGCAGAGCATGCTGGGAAAACGGAAGCGGCAATGACGTCGGCGGCGTCGTCGTCATCGCCGCCGCCGGACGGACAGACACCCACCCACCCACGCACGCACGCTCTCGCGAGATCTGACCACGGCCTGACGCAGGCTGGGTGACGTCAGCGCGTCTCCTCCTCCTCCTCCTCCTCCCCCCCCCACAACAACAACAACAACGACGACGACGACAACAAATAATAATAAGAATAATAAGAATAATAATCCTGGGATTTGATATGGCGCCCGGTCACGTCTTCGAGACGTCTCAAAGCGCTTCACGGGATGTACCGCGCGCGGCGCGTGGTGGCCGCGTATCTGTTTGCGGGCGAAATGGGGTCTCAACGCCGATCGCGCCCAGTGACGCCCCACAAACAGCCGTTCACCCCCAGCGCCCTGGACAGTCGGGGGTATTGGACCCGAGCTGTGGGGTGGGGGTGTGGGGTGGGGGTGTGAGGGTGTGGGTGTGGGTGTGGGGTGGGGGTGGGGTGTGGGTGTGGGGGTGGGGGTGTGGGGTGGGGGTGTGGGGGTGGGGGTGGGGGTGTGGGGTGGGGTGGGGTTGGGGGTGTGAGGGTGTGGGGTGGGGGTGGGGGTGTGAGGGGGTGATTGTGGGGGTCGGAATCGTGGAAGACGGAGGAGCCGTTGGGCGACGCTGAACCGATGGAAGATCTCGATGACCTGCTCCACTGGAGGAAGTGCACTTCGCTCCGCCGGCTTCTCAATGGCGGTATAACAACAACGACTTACACTTACACCGCACCTCTCACGTCGGGAGGACAATCGGGGATGGAGGGCGGGGAGGATAGGGCTCGGAGGGTGACCGAAGGCGAGGTCGAAGAGGAGGGTCTTGGAACTGGCCTTGTAGGAGGCACAGGACAGAGCAAGGCGAAGGGACTCGGATGGAGTTCCAAAGGGTGGGGGCAGAGAGGCTGAAGGATCGACCGCCGATGGGGGCGGGCCGGGAACCCGGAGCAGGCTGGAGCTACTGAACAGAGGGAACAAGGGGTTTGGTAACCATTTAGTAAGCCATCAATAGGCCGCTTTAACTGTACAATATATTAATAATAAATAATAATAATCCTTGCATTACAACCTTTGAGCACAGAGCGTGTCACTACTTGCTCATATAGTTATCACAATTTTTTTTAAATATTATTTTCTTGGAAGGGAGTTATTATCGGGACCAAACTTTTTTTGGTCGTGAAAACATAATTTTACGAACAGTTTCAGGCAGAACTAAACCTAACCAATGGTCTGTCTCGCTGGCCATCCAACTTCAAGAGGATTCCTTCCACACATCTATCTCACATCTAATAATTTAAGTTTTTAGGGAGTTATCTAGTTAACTAACTTGTTTCAGTTAAACGTAGACAAGACTGAGGCCCTTCTGCTTCATTCTTATCAGCATCTTCTCATCTCAGGTGCTGACAGCATCAACCTGCATGGATGCACAATACACCTCACGGAGCCAATATGGAACCTCAGTGTCTTCTTTGACTCCCAACTGTCCTTCAAACCCCAAATCTGTGCAAGGACCTGCTCAGTTTTCCCTCAACCCCAATGACAGCCCGTCTATTCCGCTACTTCTTCCACAGGACAGCCGAGGCTCTCACCTAATCTTTCATCACATCCAGGCTTGATGGCCATCACCCCATTTGCCGGACTCTCACAGCCGAACTGTGTCCTCTCCCCCACCAAACTATCACCGTCATCCTCGCTCGGCTCCATTGACACGCATCCCCCAGAGGATCTAATTCAAATTCCTTGTTCTCCCTTTCAAATCCCTCCATGGTCTCACCCACCCTGCCTCTCCTTTGTTGGTATAGTTGGTCAATACTTACTGACCTGGCTCCTCCCTACTTTCAGTGAACACCAGCCTACTTTATGTCCACAGCCTGTCTGCCCCATCAATAGCAGGTAGACTTTCTGCCATTCTGCCCCTTATCTCTGGAATTCCAGCCAGCAGTGTAAATGTAAATTGAATTGTTTTATTATAGTTTCATTCTGAAACCCTCTTTGTTCCACTACTTGCGCTCGTGATTTGTTCCGCCGTTTAACTAAATAAAAAGTCTTGCACTCACTCTTTGTGTCCGAGCAAAACCCACTGCCTTCAGGCGAAGAGTTGAGAAATTTATTGATGAGGGAGAAAAGCAATTTCAAGAAATAAAACGATGTAACAACAACTTGTATTTATATAGCGTCCTTCAAACAAGGTTTTAGCCCTTATCATAAGAAATCCGTTAGTGAATTTCAGACCCTCAATTTCTCACTAAGTGATTGATTGTAAATGATATATTTTTATAAAATCTTAAAAAGAACATCAGAAAATGAGAACAGAAGGAGGCCATTCAGACATCGAGACTGTTCCACCAATTTATTTGATTTTATTTAATCCCAATATCCTGGTCATTCACCATACCCTGCGTAATAATATTCCTTGCATTTGATATAGCGCCCTATCACTTATTCAAAACGTCTTGCAACGCTTCACAGAATATACAGTAAAGTGTATACTTCTATTATCCCAAGGCTCTGTCGATCTCTCATTTAAACATCTCTTTTGATTCCGTCTCACAGCTTTCTGGGGGCAGAGCGTTTCCACACCTTAACAACCGCCTGTGAGCAAATGCTTCCTGACCTCAGTTATAACTGTCTTAGTTCTGATTTGAAAGTTCTGCCCCCTGTTATCTATTTCTCTAGCAGAGGGAAAAGTCACACACTATCTAACCTGTTAATTCCTTACATTATTTTAAACGGTTCAATCAAATCACTAAAAATTACAACAGGCTACTGAGCCTCTCAGCTCAACCCCAACAGTCTGTTAATCTAGTGAATTGCGACTGGGTATGCTCCAAGTCTAGTATATGTTTCCTAAGGTTGGGTGAGATAGTGAGATTACCTCTATAATTAAAGCATTGACTGATATATTGTACTGGGCGGTACAATGATTATTTCTGTTAACAAATGCTATCTGTATGAAAAAGTAACACTCTGTGATATTCACTGTGAAAAAAAAGCTCCAAATCCATCAACTTTGGTCGGTTTCCAATCTGCATCACTGTTTTTCTTGAACAAATCTTACTGTTACTAATGTCCTGGCCTTGGCAACGCTGAAGTGTATACTGTATATAAATAAATCTCGAGCTGTAAGTGTGTTTTTTTTATATTACTCAATGTTTTTATTATTAATAATATTAATATTATTATGCACTCTATATTAATATTATTAATAATAAGGATCTACACGGGGAATTATCAAGCTCCTCAGGTGGCTGTGTTGGTAAAGACGGTCTCGATCTCATTCCAGACCAGGAAGTTCTCAAGCTCAGTCTCTCTTGCTCTTACAGTTGCCCTCAACACGCCTGGGCTCTGGAAGGGGAAATGGCTCAATGCATTTCCTAAGGCAACCACAACATTTGGCACAAAGCAATCAATGTCCCACAGACCCCCAAGGCGGGCGGCCATAGATGATTTTATTTGTTGGCCAGACACTGGAAGAAACTTCTCTTTTCGAATGGTGCCATCTGGGAAATTTATCTCTCACCTGAACAGACACATACGGTGGCTCAGTTGAATGTCTCATCCGAAGGAATAATAATAATAAAATAATAATAATAGTTCCATTTGCGCCTTATGTCTTCAAGACATCTCAAAGCACTTCACAGGATATATTGTAAAGTGAATTGACTGCGTATTTTGTGGATGAAAGGCAGCACCAATTACGCACAGCAGTGTCCCACAAACAGTCGTGGATTGAGTGACCAAATTGTTATTATTTTTTTTGAAGGGATTATTACCCCCCAGAAATGCAATCCGCCAATCGACTAACAACCTCAGCACTGTGCTGGAGCATCAGCCTAGACTGAGAAATCTAAAGAGACTGATGAAGTACAGACACAATGAGTTATATTAAAGGCTTCAAATCTTCTTTAGTAGGTCACTGTCACCGGAATGCCCCTCCCTGTCTGCCTCATGGTGCGCTCACTCACTTTCATTTGTAATTTCAGCGATGATAAATAATAATAATCCTTGCAATTGATATAGTGCCTTATCACGTCTTCGAGACGTCTAAAAGCGCTTCGCAGAATATCCTGTAAAGTGAATTAATGGTATATCTTGCGGGTGAAACGCGGCAGCTGATTGCACACAGCAGGGTCCCACAAACAGTCGTGGATTGAGTGACCAAATTATTAATCGCCGTGTGTACAGGGAGAGGTGTGGTCACACAGGATTGACCAGCGACTTGCTCCCTGCATGGCTCCTCTCTGCTCCAGGGACCTGCTGAAATCCCAGCTCTGTAATGACATCCATCACCACTGCTCACATTCAATTCTCATTCAATTCAATTCACACTCACTGATTTGAACCCACAAGCTAACTGCTACGATACAAAGCGCTTCATAAAACATATTCGCCCGGCTCCACTGGCTCCCCATCCCTCAGAGGATAGAATTCAAAATCCTTGTCCTCACTTTCAAGGCCCTCCACGGTCTTGACCGCCTTCCTACCTCTCCGCTCCCACCGCTCAGCAGGCTTTGACCTGCTCCATGTCTCCCGCCCGACCCGACCAGCCCTACCTTCGGTGGCCAGGCTTTCAGCCTCTCTGTCCCGCACTCTTTGGAACTCCATCCCACAATCCCTTCGCTTTGCTCCCTCACTTGCCTCCTTCAAGGCACGACTCAAAAGACCCTCCTTTTTTGACCGTGCCTTCAGCCGCCCTCCTACCCCCTCTGCCCTCTCTTATCCCAACCCTGCCTACCCCCATACTTGCATCCTGATCGCTGACGGTTCAGCACCTTGGGACTTCCTCCTGATGTGAAAGGCGCTTTACAAATGTAATGTTGTTGTTGTACTGTAAAGTGAATTGACTGTGTATTGCGAGGGAGACTTGCACTCAACATGAGCCAGCACCATGGTGAGAGGAGACAAAGGTGGTGTGATTTATCTCTGAATATCAGAGTGGAGAGAGAGACACGAGGGGAGACACTGAGAGATGTGGAAAGAG